CAAGTGTTGACATATGGCACGACTCCAATGTCTTCATTCCCAACGCATATAACGTATAACTGACCGGAACTAAGACACCGCACAAGACAGTCACGTATACCTTCAGCCTCTGGACGAATCTCATTTGAGCGATATATGGGAAGTGATAGCAACCAATCCATTCCTCCGCCTTCACCTTCTTATGGATATCCCACTTATAAATGCCGGCGATTCCAGCGCTTCCCATAACCGGTCCCGTCGTCTCTTCCGGAGTTCTCTGTTTTGGTGATGTATTTGCCGTTGTCTTCGATGTCTTTGGATCCGTTTTCAACGACTCCTTCGTCGACAGACATCTCATACAATGACTTCTTTGCCGCTCAACACTTGTCAATGGTTTGAGTTTTGTGGTAATTATCCACGAATTGAGACATCGATTGCGAGGTTTGTATAAAATGTGTTTCGCCTGAAAGTGAGACCAGTTATGAGTGACAATGGATTCAAACAAATCATATCAATGTTTACTCTAATAATGCCTTCAATTAGACGACAATTATTTGCTTCAAAATAAATCAAACATTTGTTTAAAGTGTTTATTGACTGCATTTTGAACGCTATTTAGGGATACGTTTAGACATTGATTTCATATACGATATCAATATCTCATTCAATATTAAAACAATTAATTTTGATAACAATTTAAACCCAAATGAAAGCACATGTGTGTAAAACACATACAAATTGTGGTAAATATATTGAATTAATAATTGAATGAGTGGTCAATTGGACTGAATTTATATGCATTTTGTTGAAAATCCCTCAATAAATGCAAATTTCATCCAAAGTTTTGTGCAAAATATATTATGCAATACTTTTGATGAGAAGTTTTTGTGTGAAACAGTGAAAGCATTTTTGTGTTTTTTGTTTCACACAAAGTGTGACCAAAATGTTTAAATCAGCGCTAATTTTGTTGATAATCGATGTGTGGATTGTTTTAATTGTGTGCAAACATAAGCCCATCATATCATTCAATGTATACGAAACGGACCACACGTTTGGCCACTACTCGGCCCACCTCTCCATACCCTCCCTCGGCATTAGTGCCGACAGTAATGTCACTCTGAATTCAAGCCACGGTTTGGTCGATAATTACCGAATCGATGTCAAACTCGAAGAGCCGATCCCTTTCGAGGCGATGGCAGACATGAATGTGACCGTCGATGAAGTGTCGACGAGTAAAGTGTTTGACATTGCGTTCAAAAGCAATACGTTTTCCCATTTGAATGCTCGCAGCCGTACCTCAATTGCCAAACAGTCCGACGGCCGGACACTCGTTGTCACCAGCGCTACACTGGAGGACAGTCTCAACCAAATGAGCGCTACATATGAGTGCACTTTGATTAGAGGGACCACTTGTCCGACCATTACTTTATGGCATAACTTGACAACAATTCCCGATTCTTTGCTGTACTTCTCGTCCAATATATCGGAAGTCTGTGACCCGACAACCGATTCATCGCAAATGGCTATCAATATAAGCCTTTCGTCAAATGTATGGCATTTAGCGAACGCACAGTTAAAACAGACATTCAATTTCGGTAAAAACGACGGCTCAGAGACCATGAATGCCAGCCATCCTCTGATGGATATGTCAGTGATGGCCGAATGGGACAGATATGCGGATCTAATGCACGTCAAAAAAGCTACATTCGTCAGTAAAGTCACAGAATTTATTCCGAGTTTTGAAATAGAGTTCAAAAAATATAAAGAACTCCCGAATCAACTGTTGATTACAACTTTCAAAGAAGTGCCAAATATTTTAGATAACATCGTCGAAGAGGCCGTCAGGGATGAGCTCTGAGGCCCTCTTCATAAATAATACTTAATTTTTATACAATAACATTAAATTACATGCAATCGTTTCGTTTATATAATAAAATATGAATTATTTTCAAAAGAAAAAACAATTTTAAATAAGTATTATTGCAAAATTTACGGTATAACGAAATTCTGATTAACTCTTAAATTAATAATTCTCATGAAAGACTTGGGAAATACTGTATATAATATGGCATTTAATTATAAATTAATTGTAGAATTGCTTATTATATTTGTTATAATGGAATGAATTTATATATAAAAAATCACGAATTGTTGCGCTTTTCGTTGAAGAAGATTATGATTTGGAAGTTATTTACGGTAATAACATATCTAATGGCACTTCTGGTGAAAATATATGATTAAAAGCTCTCTAATTAATGTTAAGACTTAATACATGCTATCGTTTTGAGCGTTAGTTTTATAATGACTTTTGATTAACAAATGGGAGATGAAGTGGATTCCCGATTCTCAGCGATTCCTGGATTGAAATAAAACAATTTCTTCCATCCTCTGTACGAATGCTCCATCACTTGCTTCTCTCCATCAGACGTCGACTTATTGTTAACCAAATGTGAAGTCTTTAAATATAATTAAACATTACATACAATTGATAACAAACATAATAGAGAAAGACTAACAGTTGTGAGAATTGCGTGCAATTCATAGGAATGCGATTGTTTCGCGAGTGACTGACAGAGCGCTGTCCCAAACCAGGAGCCCGTGTTCTCATTACGCCACGAGACGTAACCTAACCATTCAAATACAATCAATAAGTAAATAGTCT